TCACACAGCCCAGCAATTCCACTCATAAGTATACACCAAGAGAAAAGAAAGTGTATCCATATAAAAGTCTAATCCTGGGTGTTATTGGGATCTCTATTCATGATAGTCCCAAATTGAAAAGAAGTAAATGCCTCTCAGTTGGTGAATGGATAGAAAAATTGTGTATGCCTATACAATGGGATATGATTTAGTAAGTAAAGGACTGCCAGTTGCTAGGACTTGCTAAATGGAAGAAGTCTGACATAAGATACTACACTCTGTATGATGCTGTTTATATAAAAATACAGCCAAATGTACACACACAAAAAGGAGGTTTATGATATCTGCCAGGAAAGAGGAAGCATTTAATAAATGAGTATATAGGTCTTTACTAAGTGATAGAAATATCCTAAAATTGATTTATAATGAGGGCTGGTAAACTAACTATGATGTCTTCAAACTATATACTTGGACAGGTTAAATTATATATGTAAACTATGACTCAGTGAAGTACAGTTGTCTTTTGGTGTCTGAGGGAGATTGGCTCTAGGGCTCTTGAAGATACCTAAATACATGGGTGCTCAAATTCCTTAAGTAAAATTGCATACTGCTTACATATAACCTATACACATCCCCTCAAGTACTTCGTGACTCCAATATAACTTACAATGCCTAATATGCTCTAAATTATATGCAAATATATGTTATGCACATAAAATCAGTACAAGTTCAATAAGACCACAATTTTTCCCTTGGATCTTTTCAAACCATTAATAAGAAACCTGCATATATATGTAGGACTGGCTTATCAGCTCAGGGAAAAAAACAAAAGTATAAAATGAGAACAGGTAGCTTTGGGAACAAACCTACATAAAGATGATTAATCTTCTCTCCAGTGAGTCTGGGGAGGAGGATGGGCCCAGGGAATAGTACCTTTTCTGAAAGATGCCTAATTTTCAAGTAATATACAATGTACAGTATAAAGTACTGAGGGAAACTGAGCACAATCCTCTGACCTGATGAGACTACTCAAATGCTAGAGAAAGCTCAGACCACGCAGTTAAAAGGCATCAAGAATACTCATATCTTCTTTGCCTTCAGACAGAAGAGGGAAGAGAGAGTTTCTCTTGGTCACTTCCTCAGCCCCAGACCCCGGTGATGCCATCCACATGCACATACCTGGCCCTGCAGAAATCGCTTCTTCCCATGAGGCCAAGGAAAGGACAAAACAGTGAGTGTACATGGGTAAGGCACCTTTCTTTGACATTTGAATTTGTCACACTTGGTCTGTTGAGTGACAGAACTAGAGCTTGTTCCAAAAGAAAGGAAAACGTCCATTTTCTCGGGCAGAGAAAAATAATTGCAGCATTTCACTTGCACTTAGCAGACACTAGAGAGATGTTGGTGAGACTGGCTGCTGGCCCGGGAGTGTAGAAATGGTAACAGGAGAAGAGCCGCCACAAAATAAGTCAGTAGTGGCTTCAACTTTAGCAGGGCAGCTTGCTTTGCCCCTCTATTGCTTCATAGTATGCAGTCAGTAAACCAGTTCAAGAAGGAAGCTCTAAGCAGGCATTGTGCTGCTCAAAGCTGGACAGACTGATTCTGGTTGGCATAAATAAAGAGCATAAAGACTGGGCTCTCCTTTCTTGGCTCAGAACCAGGCAGCAGAATTGGGTGGTCTGCCCTTCAGCTCATCCAAGCCTGGGCGGCAGCAGGCATCAATGAACAAAGCCACAAAAGCCTCAAGTCTTCAGCCACAGAGAGTTGTGAGCCAAACAGCCCCAACTCCCCAATTTGGCCTGTTCTAATGTCTAGCACCATCCAACCATTGTTTAAAAACCTGTCCATGTGTATATGCATTCTGTCCTTCCAGGCATGAAGGTGAAGTTAACATAATAAGAAACAGTCCTCTTGGAACGGGACCCAGGAAATCACCACTCAGTGTCAATTTACATCTATGGCACTCCTTCCTATTGGGGAGGGTGTGGACCGAACCAATGATGAGTAAGTAAGGACATTTAAGGAGAACCCAGAGAAGGGCTGGTGTAAAGTAGGGTGAATCTCCGCATGGCCAGCTTGTATGCTCAAAAGACCCAAGTTTGAGAAGAAAGTCTGTCACTCATAGTTGACCTGTGTCTTACACACAACACTCTCAACTTCAATAACCTGAGTGAAACAAGGAATGAGTACATGAAGCTACAGTACAAGTTCTGATGTCAGGTAGACAGGCCCTCGGCTGTGTCACAGCATAAGTGCCTTAAAATGTAATCATATTATGGGAAGTTAAAAACAGATAGCTCATTAACTCTGTGGCTAGGGAGATCAGCTACTGAATGTCTAGAGAAATGACCTTATTAAAAAACACACACAAGCTTTTCTCCGTAAAAGTACTCTCACAACTAAAAAATGTGTAGACACAAAAGCAAACTATCTAAAAATTGTGCCACCATTATTGTTATTGTTTTATACAGGTATCTATAAGCATATGCATGACCACAACGCTTCTGTCTCCTATCTTGCTTGTGAATTGTTATAATACAGGTATTTTGAATACTGTGAATATAATGGAAATATTCTAGTAAATATTTAAGATCATTGTTTGGCTGTGAAATTATTTTGTGTATGGAATTTTGTCATTCTCTTGAGATGTGGGTTGTTTTGGCTTTCCACACCATTGAACACAAAGATGTATTATAAGCAGAATGTCATGGCACTGTGTGTGTCTCAAACAGCTGGCCAGGGTCAATGCCTTGGTACTTCTATAGTTTCATGGGGTGACTTTTTGCATCATTCTTAAGTGTTGGAAGTTATGGCTCCGTGGACTTCCCCTTGAATTCCTGGTAGCTCTGAAAGGCTCCCCCACTGCCCAAGCCAAGCTCTCTCAGAATGAATAACAGCAGCCAGAACAAAGTCCAGGCTTCACAGGGTGCTCATGGCTGGTGCAAGTCCTTTCCTGGGCACCTTCCTGGGCTCTGTCCAGCCCTGGATCCAGCCAAAGCATGTCCCATTACCAGGACACTGACCATCTCATATGCACATCTCATTAGTCACAAAATTAAACAAATGAGTACATTAATAATCCATCACACACTGTATTACTCTTGTCAGTGCAACTCACATTTGTACTTGACCTACCTTCATCTGTCATATGTGTACAAATCATCATGGAAATTTAAGTTTCCTGTAATTTAAAACGATTGTGACGCAATGTGCTTATGAAAGGTTCAGACTGGTTAGTGTGTTGGTATGTGCTAATAATCTTATTTTTGTTTGTCATTTTAAAATTCCCAAATACAAGTCTTATTTATGGAAGAAGCAGTTTTCAAAGTTAGTTACTCTGTGGCCCAGAATACCTGTAGTGTCCACTTGAGCTCTGCAGGTTGTGGCATCTTGCTGCTGGACCTCCCACAAAACCCCAGGGAGCCAGGCACACACCAAACATATCCAGTGTTCCTTTCACAGTAGTGACTGACCTCTGAGATGAGATGATGCTCTAGAAAACATCCATTCTATAGTCACTTGAAATATTACCAAAGAAACAATTTTCAGACCCAAAGTTGACTGTGAATGAGTAAAGTAACAAGTCATGCTTTAGAATCTGGGAAATAGCAATTCCATGCTTATAGCTGAGGAGCAGAAAAGCCTGTGAGGAAGTTCCTTTTATCCATTTTACATAGAATAGACATTAGGTGGAGAATTATGGTGAGGAGATGACCCATAAATGGAGAAAAGGGTCTTTGGATAAACCAAGTCTCTCTTCAGAGATTCACCTGGGGAGTGTGGGAAAGTCTCGATTTTGTCTGAATAAGAGGATGAGGGAGAAAGGCATGGTCACAGATCTGAATACCACAGCAAGACTTCAGAAATGAGATCTGTGGTATGAGGTGGTAAATGGTAAGTTAGTTTAGGAAGGTTGAGAACCCACCATGTTAAATTCTATGAACCTACAGTAGAAAGTAGGACACTGTGTTATGTGGCTAAAGAGTTCTTGAATATTTACATACATGTTTGTTTATATTCATATGTGTGTGTGTGTGTGTGTGTGTGTGTGTGTGTGTGTGTTTTCAGTGGGTGATGAAGTTATAAAACCAAGAACAAACATAATACAACATCAAATAGAACAGTATGTAGGAATTAAAGCATAGACTGCAACAGAGCTTGATAGGAGTCAGCAGAATGTTGCCTTACTGCTGTATTCAAAGGGAGGACTAGGGAATACAAGGAAGGGTGACTGTTCCTGAAGTGGCCTCCAGGCAGGGGATCACTTGTCCCAAGCACACAGAAGCCAGCAGAACCATGCTTCATCTCAAACCAACAGGGGAATCACTGACTTCTGCCTGTCTTTTCTATGGGGAAAGATTCTTTTTAGAATGAAAATATAGAAGCAAATGTGTAAGTGAAGGCACTGGAGTGATCATGTTCCATTGAATGAAAGATTTGAGTTGCTGGAAGCCTGTAACCACTAATAGTCAGACAGCTTTGAAGGAGAGAGAGCTATCTTTAGAGGCAGCAAATGCCATTGCCAAACTTATTAATGACATTTTCCTCAACTTTTTCTGGGACACACACATCTCCACTTTAGATCAATACAATGGTATTATCCTTCTATCAATTTTTGTATAATATCCGATTAAGAAATAAAAATTATATATTCCCTTTTTGTATGTAAAATTGTATTAAACAAGTTTCTGATCCAAGGTATTTTGTATATGGACTGTTTAAGAATGACTGAAAATTAAAATGTCATCTTCTCCCTTGCACAGCTTCCTAATCAAGGCAGTTTCTTCAGACATTGATAATCCTAATATTTTCTTAAAGCAGGTACTTAATTCAAATGGAAACCAAAGCACTGGGCTGCTGCAATCAGTGAAGATGTGAATTCTCAGTCCTGAAATTCTCAGGTATCATGGCTTGAGGTATAACATGTGTATAAAGAAAACATCAGAATTTGAAAATTGTTATTTAACAGTATCCTATATTTTAGTAGAGGAAAGATATTAGAGAAAAACTGGAGACAAGCATATTTTTATGATTATGAACTTTATTTTTTATTTACTAAGCCAACACGTTCAGGAAAGACTTTACATCTGGTTTCCATAATTCATTTTACAGGCAAATTCTAATATACATTATGTACTCAGAACTGGATTGTAAAATCAATGGGGAAAACGACATTGCAGATACTGTTTCTGGTTTTAGTCATGACTAAGTTCTCAAGGCCAGCATTACTCATCATGGCAATGAGCTACCAAGAAAGGGGGTGGCTTTTACTCGACAAGGTGAAGACACAATCTTTAATCAATTACATAATTATAGAAACCTCATAATCATCTGTCCAAATGTATCCTCTCAAATTGCTGCAGCAGAAACTTAAAGGGACCTGTGGAAAGACCAAAAGAAAATAGAACTCAAGCATCAGAATCAGGAACATAGCAAGGCCATCATCTCCAAGGAAAACCTCATGTATTTATATTACGGCTATACTTCAATTTCAAAGGTGTGCATAAGCATGCAAACGTAACTACCCAAGCTAACTCAGCAACACAGAAGCTACAGTGTAGGATGGAGGGTGTGGAAATGGTGTTGCAGTCTTACTGGCCTTCAGTCAAGCTCATTTGACCCCAAAGTGCATCCTCAGGAAGCTGACCAAATTACTTTGATGGCAAACAGGAGCACCTATATCTGGAACCTTTCAGAAATGACAGTTATGGGGAACAAGTTGTCTTTGATACATTGAGTAAAATACTTAAAGGGACAATGGACATTCCAAGAAAACTTAGTGCTATCATGGGCAAAGTGGCATGCTGGGATACAGTTCGGTGAAAGGCTGTACAGCTTCCTTCAAACAGCAACATTTACAGAGATATTCATTTCACTAAACAAAGCCACACCCACAGGAGGCAATTTGATATTCCAGGCACAACTACAAGCAATTAAACTCACGTAAAGTGCATATCTGATATTGTCTTTCATACTCAGGTTTTTCCTCACTAAAATGCTTAGTAAGTTCTCTAACACCTATATAAATACAAGGAACAGTAGTCGATGTGCCTGAAAATACTGCACAAATGAAAAATGAGACTCCAAAAGAAAAGTAACAGGTAGATGGTCTGTGGTTAGAAATCATCTATAATCCTTTGTTGGAAGGCTTGGAATCAGCTATACCTATGCCAATGAACATCTTAGCCCAAGCTTTCTTTGAACAAACTCAGGGCTACATAGCAAAACTCTAGCTCAAAAAACCATCATTTGAAATGCATCCTGTTAAAAGCCAAATGAACAATTTTGTATATTTTCTATTCATACATGTAAAAATTACCCAACTCATCCTTGGCACTAGGAATTTACCCACTCCCACTATCTTTGCTAATAGATCAGAGTGAACGAGCTACGTTTCTGCAAAAGACAGTTGGCAGAGTGTTGGTTTACAGATGCAAGCAGGGGATCAGGCCAAATGTGAGAAAGTGACCTCTGTGTATTCAGCAGTGCTGGGCCCTCATCTCCACTTCTCAGTATTACTAGGAGCAGACATGATAGTCTTGCAGCTTTTACAGAAAACTGCAGGCAAATATTCTATGTTGTTTGTGAATGCATCCTAGGTATTTTCTCTAGGTAATGTATTTGAAGCATACATTATGTTTTAAAAGGGTACTGATGAGGGCTGAGGATGGAGCTCACTCAGTTGGCCAAGTGCTTGTCTAGCACACATGAAGCCCTGGATTCAACCTCCAGTGGCACATAAAACCAGGTGAAGTGGTGCACTCTTGTAACCCCAGCACTCTGGAGACGGAGGCAAGAGATAAAGAGACCAAGGTTATCTTTGGCTACCCAGTGAGTTAGAGGCCAGCCTGGGATATGTGAGGCTCTTGTCTAAAACAAAACAAAACAAAAAACAAAACAAAAAAAACTTATCTTCTATCAAGACCTCAGGTCCAGCACAGGTATAGAGAGTGAACTGGTGGAAAAACATTTCTGCAAATTCATCATGGAGAAAAAAATTAAAGGGGCCAAAGATTAGAATAAACAAATTACTGGAGTCAACATTTTTTTTTTTCTAATAGACAATGACGACATTTCCATCAGACAAAAGAGTTATAAATAAATTTACAATTTTAAACTTTCCCCTAAGGGTAAGGCTAACTTGTAAAAGTATTTCACAAGAGTCTATACAGATCTCTAATTTAAAAAACAACAACATTCATCAGTATGTTTTATTGCAGGGAATAGAGTATGATTGTAGCCAATACGCGATGCATGAGATTAGTTTTCATTCTCTATAGGGGAAAGCACATGTGCTCACATACAGCAGCAGCCAGCCTGGCTCACTTTCATGGACAAAGCATCTGGCCTATGTGCAGGGCATCCTGAGCTTCGGTTCTTCTCTGACTAAAGTGCTGTGGTGTGAGACTATGCTCACCCATTTCCAAACCCAAAGAAGGTCAGCATCTCCAATGGCAAATTCACTTGAGGGGTTGTGACACATAAGGGAAGACTGCCCCCAGATGGCAGCAAATGTGACTTTGAAGCTTTCCACTAATGCATTTGATACCATGCTTCTCTTTGTAACCTAGTTACATTTAAAAAGGAAGCCCTAGCAGTTTGTTTTGGCCAGAATTCCTTTTGATACATTTTTTGGTCAGCTAATCAGATACAGATCCTGTAAGGTTATTTGTCTGAAAACTCTTAATTTGAATGACATGAACTATGGATGACCATCCTAAAGACAGCATGATTTGGGCAAATGTAAGGTAAATTTACTCAGCGGCATGGTTGGGTTCCTGTCCACGGTTACCTGGAGGCCCCACAGCTACATTCTGCAGCACATCTGCAGCATGTCTTGAGAAAGTACACTTTCTACCTACAATTTCAATTTTCCCCAACTACTTTTCAAGAAACTGCCATTCAAAATAGAAAAGGGAAACTCAGGAAACCCAGAAAAGCAACTTATTATGATAGTCTTAAATTTATATATATTTTCTCAGTGTTTTAACTCATTTTTATAGAAAATAAGCTTTAAATTCCTCTTACATCCCATCAAAATTTTGTGCAAATATTTCAAGTCCATTATTCCAGTCTTCAGATATTAGCAAATAGTCAAAAATAAATACAAATATTAAAGACTAAATTTTAAATTTTCAATGTATATTGTAGAAACTTAAATATGATGGATCCATAAGTTAATAGGGTTTAAAACTCAATTACCAGCAAAACTCTAGCACCAACAGAGGTTACAACTAATATACCCTTAGGCATCTCAAGCTCTCCAAATTTATCCAATAGCAATACAAGCAAATAGTACATGTGTGAATGAAACAAGGTGTTATAACAACATATATTTGGTTTACATAAAATAATAAAAACTGTCAGCCTGGGGATTTGTCTGATAAATGGAGAAACCGTAGGACTATATTACTGATCCTAGAAAGGAGAGAGAATACCTATAAGGACTCCCCCACTAAAAACCTGGTCTTTACTTATTGTGGAGATTTTGCATAGACCTCACATACAAAACACTGGCCAGAATCCTGCTTACAGACAATCATCTTCCATCATCACTATGGATCTTTAGTTAAAATAGTAACCACATTCATATTCACAGTAAGAGTAAGCAAAGGGGTGGGGTTTTGATAACCAGAGTTATGGACCACAACAGGACTAAATTAGCAAAGTACATATGTTGCCTGATAAATGGAATCCTTTGACTTTTCTGGTGTGCAGAGAGAGGGCTGGATAGCATGACTTGGCCTCTGAGATGGATAAGTAAACTTGTGTTTACCTGAGACAAGAATGTGCAAATGGTATATCGTTCAACTAGGATATAAAATGGAAGAGCCAAACTAGTAGAAGCTTCTCCGTTTTAATTTTAAGATTTGCTGTAATGGAACCTCCAACATAGTAATAAACTGCACATAAAGCTATTACAGAGCAGACTGTTTTCAAAAGACAAATTGGCAGATGATGGCTATGCACTTAATGTATCTTTGGTTTAGGAAGACGAGAATATCGATTAGAGGCCACACAATCCCCAGAATGCAAACTGCTGTGTGGATTCTGCAGTTCTTTTGGTCGTGCTAATGGCCTTGGGATGTTTGTCTTGGTTTGAGATTCTAGTTGGGGACTGATTATTTGTTTTTGTTTGAAAGAGCCAGAAGGGGGACGGAGTTTAGATGCTTTCAGATTTAAATTATTTGCAAGATTGTTTTGATTAGACGTTGGCTGATGTTTTGAATTACATTGTGCAATTACTGGTGCCTTCTTACATGTGGAAGTCCTACTTGATGATGAATCAGAATCTGGAGGTGGTGCTGAAGAACTCAAGATGGATGGCTTTAAATGCTGCAAGGACTTGGGCTGAGGAGACTGGTTTCTTCCTACTCTCTTAGTCTGGTCCACTGTACTTGACTGGGAAGGTGTCTGAGGTTTGGGTACAAACTGCACGTCACTAGTTTGGTTCTTTGCCAAATAAGAAGGCTCTTGAGCATTCATAGTCAAGCTCAGGCTCGTTTCAGAAGGTATGTCCTTCACCACATCCACTGTGAACTGTGGGCTTGACGAAAAAGGACGGTCTTCCAAACCATAGCTGTTTTCTTGTTGCAAGCCATGTGTACAGCTTCCATCTGGATGTGCACCACTCTGACACATGCCTTGGACTGTATATTCACTGTGGGCCTCGATATGTTGTGGCTTTATTAGTTTTCCCTGGGCGTGGTCTGTAGGTCTGGGAAGGCTGCTGGAAGGCTGTAGTACTTGAGGCTGTTAAAATTTAAAAAAAAAAATACCAACAATTTATATTAGAAATCTACCCAGAATTAATGCAAGTTCAATTCCAATTAAGCAAATTGCCATGTATTATACTTTAATATGGAAAATATGTGATTTTTTAAAGTAAAGGATGAATTGCAGGGTCCAAGCAAACTCATGACATACATTAAAATGATAATGCAAACAAAAATGATACAGGCAGCAAACACTGAACAAGAGCCAAAATTAAATGGGACAAAAGAAAGCCTTTAAGTATTTAATGAAGAAAAAAAAATCCCTGCATCATTACATTTACTATCTTCAACATTATCTACAAGGGATACAGAGGAAAATTTCATTAGCACTTTGATTTAATTTCCTTTAAGTGGCACTCACATTTAATGGTAACATTCAGGATATTGCCCACTTTATTTTACGAACATCGTTTTGCATGTGTGTGTATATGTGCACCACGTGTCCCCGGTGCCCTTGAAGGCTATAACAAGACATCAGTTCCCCTGGAACTAAAGTTAAAGATGGTTGTAAGGTGTCATATGTTTGCTGGGAACTGAACCCTGGTCCTGTGTAAGAGCATTCAAAGCTCTTAACCACCAAGTCATTTCTCCAGCTATTGTGCATTTTAAAGTTCATTTTTATGTGAGTTGCCAAACACTCTCTCTCTTTTACCAAGAGATACACAAAGTTTAGAAAAGACTATAATGTTAGTTTATGTGGAATTCTAATGATTTATACAAAAGTGTCTGATACACTTAGCCCAGTATGTTCAAAGCACTAAATTCAACCCTTAGAGCCCCTCACAGCCCAACAGTCTTTTCAGTGACACCTGAGAGAGCATCAATGTGCAGCCACCTGGAACTGGAACCAAAACACAGCAGCCAAGTTCTCAAGGCCTAGTAGCCTTGTGCACCCTCAGCAGCCAACTCAAGAGAACATGCAACTTCCTTTATTTTGTGTTATCCAGTAACACAGGGGTCAGTTAGAACAAATCAGTAACCATCTGTTTCCTCTCCCATATACATACTTTCTATTTCATAATTTGGGCTAAAATGTCAAAAATTTTGGGTTTCAAATGTGGGTTTTAACAGGTCATTTTTCATTAATAAAAATATTTTTTAACTATGCTAATCCACAAAGAAACCTTACACGGTGTCTCTCACATCTCCTGCTGAAGGGACGGACCTCTCTGACTGCATCATTGTGTTCTTTTACTCCTTGACCAGCAGTAGAAGTGCCTGCTGAGGATCAGCAGTGAGAGACTGAAGTGGCATGCATGGCTGGGAATGACTGAGAACAAGATCACCACTCAGGAGGGATGGCTGAGGGCTGACCAGTACTTTAAAAGGGGGAGGGAGTGTTTAAGATACCATGCCAGTCAACATTCCAGCATGGAGGAAGGAGGAGCCAGCAAGTCCCAACTCCTCAGGAGCTAGGCACAGCTCATGAATTCAGGAGTGGGGTATGGGTTTTCTTTAAGGGTATTGCCTCTGACAGGCTAACCAAGCTCCAGTGCAAGACCCTACACCAGGGAGAATACAAACTAGACTTAATAGGTTATTTTACTTTCAGTCTTTAAAAAGAATACAATGTTGGGAGGAGGTGGAGAGGTGAGGGTAGATCTGGGAGTGGTTAGTGGAAGGACTGAGGGGGTGAGAATGATCAAACCACATTGTATGTATACACGTAATTCTTAAAGAATAAAAAATATATATTTAAAAGGCAGAACAATAATCAAAATTAAACTGTACAAAACAATGAATGTTGACATTAACTCTAGCTGCAGAATGTTCAAACTAAAGCTAGCCCAATTACTGCCTAAAGCTAACTATCCAGACTTCAAAGACAGTGGACATTTTTCAATCCATTACCATGGAGATGAATAAACTATCCTTCAAAATGAAAGGTACTAAAATATCATTAGTAACTAATTCAGTAGATTCTCCTGAAGGTTTCCTAGTGAGCATGTAAAAGCAATCACAAAAGTAAAAAATACTTAATAGAAAGAACAAGCAGGGCCATACTAAGGAAGTCACACTCCTTAGTATGGAAGGTGGGGGCCTGGAGAAGGACAGCACTAATGGCCAAGTGCACAGCACCTGTTCTCTCTTTTCACCTCCAAACAGAGTAGTTTTCCCATACCAATTTAAAAGATCTTAAAGCAATTTAAGAACCAAAAATATCAATGACAATTTTAGAAGATGACTTCTTTGTAGTATGTTTATTACTCTAGAAATAAAAAAGGTGCTACTGGACTGCATTAAGACAAGGTAATCAGAGCGCCAATCATCCAGAAGAGGCCCACTGTGACTTGAATGTGACACAGCCATTTGCACTGTAAATTATTCCCATTCCCTACTTCTCATGGAGAAACACATGCAAACAGCAGAATCAGAAAGATGTGCTGCACGTACTCAACATAACAAAGCTCCATTTACAAGACTGACAACTAGAAAGTGACCAAGTTTCTAAGAATATACCATGCTGAGTCTTTTATCTGAGGAAATAAGACTAAATAGTTACACAAACAAACGTCTAAACTATCATCTGTGGTAGTTTGAATGCCACTGGCCCCATAATCTCATAGGGAGTGGCACTATTAGGAGATATGGCTTTGTTCGAGTGGGTATGGCCTTGCTGGAGGAAGTATGTCACTGTGGGGTGGGCTTTGAGGTCTCTTTTGCTCAAGCTTCCTTCAGTGTGACTTTCAGTTGACTTCCTGTTGCCTGCAAGGTGTAGCACTCTCAGCTCTAGAACAAAATAAGCCTACATACCATCATGCTTCCTGTCATGATGATAATGGACTGAACCTATAAATTGTAAGTAAGCCACCCCAATTAAATGTTTTCCTTATAAGAATTGCATGGTCATGGTATCTCTTCACAGCAATAAAAACCCTAACTAAGATAGAAGTTGGTACCAGGGACTAGGGTATTGCTGTGATAGGCCTGACTGTGTTTTTGTTTGGAATAACATGGACTTCATGTTAGGAAAGCAGTGGAGTGCTTTAAGCACTACTTAATGGGCCATACAAGTAGAAGCATGGAAGACAAAGGTGCTATGAGTTATCTGAACTGTCGGGGGCTCACTCAAGAAGTTTCAGAGGAGAAGAATTTTAATATGTTGCCTAGAGATCTTTCCTGTGATATTTGGTGAAGAATGTGGCTGCCTTTTGTCCTTGTCCAAAGAGTCTGCCTGAGCTTAAAGTGAAGAGTTTTGGATTGTTGCTGGAGGCCAAAGTAAAGAGTTTTGGATTAATTCTATTAGCAGAAGAAATATCAAAACAGCCTAGTATAGACTCCGTTGTGTGGATATTAGTGGTAACTTTGATGAAGATTTATAATGAAAAGAAGCAAGTTGAACAGGGTAAATTACAAAATGTAAATTTTGAGAAAAAGACCACCAGTAAGTGAGCTAAATCCTGTGTTCAAGGAGATAAACAGATTAAGAAATGGAATAAGCTAGGCGGTGGTGGTGCATGCCTTTAATCCCAGCACTCGGGAGGCAGAGGCAGGTGGATCTTTGTGAGTTCGAGGCCAGCCTGGTCTACAGAGCAAGATCCAGGAAAGGGTGCAAAGCTACACAGAGAAACCCTGTCTCAAAAAACCAAAAAAAAAAAAAAAAAAAAAAAAAAAAGAAATGGAATAAAGGAAATGGTGACTTCAGGGCAAGATCTCACCCAGCTAAGATTCCAACTTGTGAAAAGGAACTAATGCACAATTTGGAGTTTGCCCAGCTGGTTTTTGGTCTTGTTTTGGTTCAGTCTTTCCTTGGTGTGCTCCCCTTCCCTGTGTTTTGGAATAGTTATGTGGTGCAAGTATGTAATCTACTCTTTGATTTCAAGGTGATTAGAGTTAAGAGATTGCATGATTCTCAGAAGAGACTCCGAACTTTGGAATTTATTTATTTATTTATTTATTTATTTATTTATTTATTTATTTATTTATTTATTTATTTCAGAGCTGAGGACCAAACCCAGGGCCTTGTGCTTGCTAGGCAAGTGCTCTACCACTGAGCTAAATCCCCAAGCCCTGAACTTTGGAATTTAAAACATGGTTGAGACTGTGATAGACTATGACAAAGTTGGACTAAATGTGTTTTGCATTATGATACTGTTGTAAGCTTATGGCGGCCAGGGAGTGGAATGTGGTAGCATGAATGTAATTGGCCCCATAATCTCATAGAGAGTGGCACTACTAGGAGGTATGGCTCTGTTGGAGTGGGTATGGCCTTGTTGCAGGTGTGTCACTGTGGGGGTGGGCTTTGAGGTTTCCTATGCTTAGAATACCACCCAGTGAGTTAGTCAACTTCCTGTTGCCTCTGAGTCAAGTTGTAGGACTCTCAGCTCCAGCACCACATCTGCCTGCACAAAGTCATGCTCCCTGCCAAGGTTGATAATGAACTGAACCTCTGAAACTGTGAGACCTCTCAATTAAATGCTTTCATTTATAAAAGTTGCCATAATTATGGTGTCTCACTACAGCAATTAAAACCTAACAAAAACATCATCTAATTAGAAATAAATAAGTTATTTCTATAAGATAATGTGAATTTTACACTTCATGTAAAATTATTCTTAGTAATATAATTTTCCTATCCTAAAATGAATGCCCTATGTTTGAAAATTGTGATTTGGGAAACTTCACTGTTATGAAGAGAAAAGGTCTCTTTCAAGGAGAGTAAGAAATTGCTACACTGTGAGGTCTAAGGCGACAACAGTGGGAGAGGCACCCTACCATGGACCAGACTATCACTAACAAACAACAACGTACCACTAACAGCCACAAAGCACTTGTGTCTATTAAGTCACAGTACTAGGAGTGGGAAAACCTGGAAGTGAGCACACGGCTGTCCTGTGCTTCATGGAGCTTGTTAAGGAGGTCAGGCTAACAAATGACAAACCACTTCCAACAACATGGAATCAAAAAGAAAACAAAAGCTTGACTGGAAAAAAATACATACAAAATGTAGAAACAATCTAGACTGAGGTTTTCAAG